TGAACTTCTTCCCTAGAACACCTTCTGTGTCTGGTTTCATCTGCCTGCTTTTATCTTTTGACTTCTTTGTCAAAACCTGCTCAAACTGGTACTTATTATGTGTCCTGACCCTGAAGGTAAAAAGCTGCTCAGGTTCCATCCTTGATTTTTCAAGTAAATGGGTATCATGGGATGGTTTGGGCTGGTGGGACCTCAAAGCTCATCTAGATCCACCCCCCTGCATGGGCAGGGACACTTCCCACCAGCCCAGGTTGCTCCAAGCCCCATCCAACCTGCCCTTCAACACTGCCAGGGATGGGGCAGCCACGGCTTCCCTGGGCAACCTGTTCCAGGGTCTCACCACCCTCACAGCAAAGAATTTCCTCTAAATGTCTCACGTACATCTTCCCTATTTGACCTTGATGAGTGAGGTCATCCAGGACAGGCAGAAGCAAGACTTTCTTAGTGATGTTCTTAGTAATATTTTCAGTGCTTTGAACTTGCCAGGCCCCCTGCTTGTCTTTGATGACCCATCACTAGAGAAATATGTGCTCATGGCAAAGCTGGGGTGATGTCCAGTGTCCATGCACCAGCAGAGATGTACTGAAAGTATTTTGCTGAAGTGTTCAGTATTCTTCTCATGTCAACCATGCACCAGTACAGCATTTTTTCCAGTATTTCAAGGCTAATCTGTTTTCTCCCCAACTTTCCCATTTATTTCTAACAGTGGTTTGATGCCTCCCAAGAGGAGTCGAGGGAAACCAGCTCTGTCTCGGGTGCCCTTCTTGGAAGGTGGAAATGGAGACTCTGATTTCAGCAGCTCAGGTGAGAACAGCTGCAGAGCAGCTTTGGGGAACACCCTGCTCTTGGTCCCACCACACTGACAGATCCTCTGCACCAGGGGAACCAGCCAGGGACCAGTCCTGCAAGAACTATTCAGCTTATAAAGTCAGAGCACTGACCTGCCTGTGTGTTATAGAATGAGTTTAGTTGAAAAAGACCTTTAAGATTCAAAGTCCTTTAAAACAGGCTGGGAGAGTTGGGGTGTTCAGCCTGGAGAAGAGAATGCTCCAGGGAGACCTGAGAGCACCTTCCAGTGCCTGAAGGGGCTCCAGGAAAGCTGGGGAGGGACTTGGGACAAGGGCAGGGAGGGATGGGATGAGGGGGATGGATGAAAAGTGGAAGGGGGGAGACATTAGGACATTGGACATGAGGAGGAATCTCTTTGCTGTGAGGGTGGTGAGAGCCTGGCCCAGGTTGCCCAGGGAAGCTGTGGCTGCCCCATCCCTGGGGGTGTTGAAGGGCAGGTTGGATGGGGCTTGGAGCAACCTGGGCTGGTGGGAGGTGTCCCTGCCCATGCAGGAGGGTGGATCTAGCCCCCCTGGTCCCATCCTCCTGCCACCCTCCTTTAGAAGCTGATGAATATTCCAGTGTTTAAGAGTTTATCTGGAGCTACAGGCATGTTCTTAGACCCATGATTTAGGAGCCTGTGGCTCTGTCTTGGTGCAGACCATGCCTGGACACCCCCCGTGGCCGGGCTGAGTCGTGCTGCACCTCCCAAGTTTATCATAAGCTTCCTGCAGATGAGATGTGTGTCTTGAGCCCCTTGCCAGGACTCACCCTCCTAATCCATGTCTCCTTCTGTCCCTTAGGCAGGACTCTTCTGATGTCCTATGAGAATCAGGCTGAGCTGGAGCCTCTGGAGCTTGTGTGGGCCAAGTGCCGTGGCTACCCCTCCTACCCTGCCTTGGTAAGTGCCCTTTGCTCCTCAGCCTCTACCCACAGAGCAGAGAGCCCAGAACACAGTGCTAGAATGTAGTGGAACCAGGCAGAAAACTTCCCAAAATCCTGCAAGATGGGCTTGTTGGGGTTTTTTCCCCCCTTTTGCACAGTTAATTTTCCTCATTGTTGCAGAGGATTCATAAAACATGGGTCTCTCAGGGACAGGAGGGGATCTTCCCTCTCCTGCTCACTCTGCAGCTGTGGGGCAAGTGATCAGTGCTCAATTTTCCTTTCCCACCCTACGTAGATTTTAATTGCTTAGCTGGGATAAACTGAAAGAACTGGGGGAGGTGGAGAAAGCATTTTTCTGCAGCACTGGAAGTGCCTAAATCTCCTTTCCCTGTGTCACCAGATCATTGATCCCAAGATGCCACGCGAGGGTTTGCTCCACAATGGAGTCCCCATCCCAGTCCCACCCGTGGATGTGCTGAAGCTGGGGGAGCAGAGGCAGACAGAGGCAGGAGAAAAGCTCTTCCTGGTCCTTTTCTTTGACAACAAGAGAACCTGGTGAGTGTGTGGAGGCAGGTGAGGGCCTGTGGTGAGGGCGGGAAGGTTTAACATCTCCCGTGCTGCATGGGAGTGTCCAGGGGTGATGATGATGTTACATGTACATTGGAGAACTTAAACCAGAGTCTAAATGAGGAAGCCAGCCCAGCTTTTCCCTGGCCCAGGAGCATCACATCCAGCTGCTCCAATTCCATAGGGAACAGCCCAGTGTCCTTCACCCAGGGGGTCACATCACCACAAAAACCTGGGGCACGCAAAGAGCCGATTCTGTAGTCAGAACCTGCAGCGAGTTAGAGAGGATTTGACTTGAAACCAGCAGCAGATTGAGCAGCCAGTTGCACTGTGCTCTCCTCTCCCCTGCAGGCAGTGGCTTCCCCGTGACAAAGTCTATCCCTTGGGCGTGGATGACACGGTGGACAAGCTGAAGATGATGGAAGGCAGAAAAACCAGCATCCGCAAGTCTGTGCAGGTGGCCTATGACCGAGCCATGGTCCACCTGAGCAGAGTGAGGGGGGATCACCCCTTCCTCACCTCCTCTTACCTGTGAGGCCTCAGGGTGCCTGCTCCTCCTTTTCCTCCAGACCTGGAGCCAGGTCTTCTCCTCCTCCTCCTCCACGGGTGGAGAGGATGGTCTCATGCGCTGAGCGGCCGGGGAACGTTCCCAGCAGCTCATCACTCCTCCAAGTACCCTGAAATGTGCCAAAAAAAAAGCCTGTCCAGCTTCTCTCTGAATGTGTCTTGCTGAAGAGCTGGCAGGAGGTGAGATGTTCAGTCTACAGGGCCAGGAGTGAAGCAGGTAGGAAAAGCTGCTGGGTGACAGAGCCACGGTGCAGTGGCAGCACTGGGGTGTTGGGACCTCATCCCTGCCCAACTCCCTCCCTGCCACTGGGGTGTTCAAATCCTCAGCCAGCCCCAGTAATTCCTGGGAACCACTGTAACCCAACTGGGATCCACTGTAACCCAACTGGGATCCACTGCAAACCAACCAGAATCCACTGCAAACCAACCAGGATCCACTCAAACCCAACCAGGATCCACTCAAACCCAACCAGGATCCTCTACAGCTGGATCTCTACCCAGATCCTCTACCCAACTGGACTTTTCTTGTGCCAAATTCACCCAAATAACAATCATTGGCCTTTTGATATCTTTTTTAATGACACTGATTGTCCCATCACGTGGAACAACAACAACAACTGGCAGCTGGGAGTTGGTGTGACAGTTTTCCTGCCTACACCTACGTGGTGTTTTCATGTTTGATTTTTCTCATTTCATGTAGAAAAGCTTGAGGTATTTTGCTGACCTTTCCCTCTGCTGCACACACCTCCATGCACAGAAGCACAGAGCTTTAAATACTAAAAGCAAATTATTTTATGTTTGGTTTTGTGTGTGTGTGTCCTAGAAATTTGGTGGCTTGACATTTCCATTCTGATTTCTGTGACTGTTCCAAGAATGTTTCATATCAGGGTTTCCTAAGAGTCTAAGCAAAGATAATTTCTCTTGTAAGAAGTTAATTCTGGAGGTGTCTCATGAGCTGGAGCAGCTTTGCAGGCACTGAGGTTGATCAGGGTTGGAGGGAGATGCATCTTTTGTGTTGGTTTGTGCACATTTGGTGTCAGGCTCCTCTTCCTTTCTTCCCTTTTTTATTTCTCCCCATCTCCCTGTTTTTCCTTTGGCTCAGTTTGGGTTGAAACCAAACATGAACCCACCTGGACCTTTTCACCTTCTCCCACCCACCTGGTTCCTTTTTCCCTGCTCTCCAGAGTTGTTACTCATTAAAAAACCCCAGGACATCCAGCTCTGCAGACAATCCCTGCTTGGTTTTTTTTTCCTGGGGGGGAGAGGGTGGGTTTTCATTGCAAAAAAACCCAAAACCCCCCCAAAACCAACTGATGTTTGGAAACTCGAGGTCAAAAAACCTTTCCAATCAGCCAAGGACTTGGGGAGTTCTCTGGTTTTTTTGTGTCCCCCCTCTTTTTTTTTTTTTTTGGTTGGTTTTCCTGCTTTCCCATTTGAAGAACCAAAGGTGCAGAGCAAGATTGTAGATTGAATCTCATCATTTCACTTTTTAACTCACTATTTTTTTAATTGCTTTGACTTTTTCATACTGAAGAGAATGGGGGGGGGGAGGGGGTGTCAGTCAAAAAGAAATAATACTAATTAAGAATAATTAATAATGACTAGTGGGGACTAATCACTGCCATTTCTACTTGGTCTACTTTTTTAAAAATACCACTTCTTATACATTGGGACATGGAACCACATTTTAGGGAGGATTCCTGTAACATAAAGAGAGAAAGGGGCAAAGGATTTTGTAAAAATGAGAATAATAATAAGAAGAATTATGCCTGTGGAGCGTGGCCAGGGAAGGATGTTTGTGTATATAGCTGTAAAATATTGTTCTAAATTATTTAGACCTATTGTTCACCATTCTTGAAGTCCTCAGTTGTGTTGCTGGGTCTTTTTTATATGCACAATGTGTAATTTATTTCAAGGAACATAACACTTTTCAGGTGGTAGCTCAGCTGTGGACTCGTGACCTGTGTCTCTTATGCTTTAAGATCTTGGGGGGAGTTTAAGGGGGGGGGGGGGGGGGGTGGTTTGTTGTTTGTTTTGGGTTTGTTTTGGTTTTAAATGACATTTTAGGATTTGAATTGGCTGATCCTGCTGTTGCTACTGGGACCTAAACATGATTGTCAGGCTGCTGTAAAGCACAGATTGCTCTATTTATTGTAGAAAGTGAGTTTATTTGCTTTCTAGAATTGTTTATATCAGAGGGTATAAGAGAGGTAATAAGAGAAATCTATGCTTGTAAAGAGAAAAGAAAAGCTAATTTTACCTACTATAATCGGACTGTCTGAGACTATATTTTCTCTCTGAGAAATAAATGTTCTAATGTATAAAAAAATATATATAATTAAAAATAAACATCAGAGTCTTTCTTTGCTGCTGGTGCCCTGAGCTCCAGGATTTCACTTCCCATGAGGGTTTTGTATTGGACATGAAGCTGCCAACCCTGTACTGGTATTTCATAGCATCCCAGACTGGTTTGGGTTGGAAGGGACCTTCAAGATCATCCAGTTCCACCCCCTGCATGGGCAGGGACACCTCCCAGCAGCCCAGGTTTCTCCAAGCCCCATCCAACCTGCCCTTCAACACTTCAATGTCTTTTAAATGTTTTAAAGCAAAAAGAAACCCCTCATCACCCTCCTTTCTCTCCCCCCACAGGCCAAATAAACCCCATTTCCCAAGGACCTGCACCCACCTGCTGCACCATCCCCAGGGATTTGGGTACTTCCTGTGCTGTGCAACAATCTCAGGGTGGCAATTTTGGGAGTCATTTTTGGGGCTTTAAGAAATAAAAGAACAGTAATTGTCTCCCTGTCAGTTATTTCAAGCCTTTATACCTTAATGTAGGGTCCTGGAAGTAGGAAGGGAGTTTATGGTGCAGTGTTCCCTGGCTCAGGGATGGAAGTGAAGGTATTAAAGGGGGAATTCTTCACACTTTTTTTGCCTAATACTCCCACCTGTTGCAAGGAATGAGGAAAAGGAGGATTTAGTAGCAAGGAGCTGGTTCTCTGGAGGAAAATCACACAGAATCACAGCATTATGGAGGCTGGAAAAGGCCTCTGAGATCAAATCCAGCCTAAGACCTGACACCACATCTCCAGACCATGGCACCAAGTGCCACCTCCAGCCTTTCCTTAAAGGCCTCCAGCCCCCCCTCAGCCCAGCTGCTGCTGGTGACATCCCTGCTGACACTTTTGGGTTGAAATGACATATTAATAAAATAGCTCCCCCCTCTCCTGCCCCATTTTCTCCTCCTACAACACATAAAATTCAGACTTACCCAGTGACTCGGTGGCTCAGAGGTTTCCATGACAATGAGGGACCAGCAGCAGCCCCAGGAGCAAGAGCAAAGAGTCACAGCAAGCAATTCCACCCCTGGCATGAAACAAGTTGTGTGGGGCCTCAGCACAGACGGAGGAAGGAGTTAGGTTTTTTTTTTTTGCTGGTCTGTGATGGGATCCCCATTGGTATCATCACTGGTGGAGCAGGAAACCAGGTCCCCAAAATGAGGCTGAGCCTAATTTTTGTCCCCATTTTTCCCCACCCTCTACTCCTGCCCAAAGCCCCTCATGAAGGGCAAGGCCTGACCCACCACAAACAGTCACCACACCCTTCAGATGTTGGGTTTGGGGTTTGGCTGGGCTTTTCCTTTCTAATTTCCCACGTTAAAACAAATTCGGGGGGGGGGGGGGGGCCCTTCCCCTGGCAGGAAAGCCACAAAAAGGCACACACAGAAATAAAAATGCCTGAGGGGTAGAAAAGAAACAACTCCAGGATCAGAAAACCATTTCTTGAGACACTGTTTGGAGTTTTATTGGCAACAAGGCTCTGCCTTTCACATGCTCAGCCCTGGCCCCGCTGCCCTTTCCCACCAGGAACAGGAATGGAAAGCAGAGGGACCTTCCACAGGCCCCATCACCCCCTGGGAGCACTGGGAGAAGCCTGGATCTCCCCCCTCTCACCTCCAGTCCTTGGCACACGAACCAGCCCATTAAAACATTCCCAGTTGGTTTAAGAGCAGGCAGGGGGAGAGGCCAAGCTGGTCCTTTTCGGCCCCAGGGAGACATTCCAGGAGGAGGGAGGATGTGGGGCTGGGGATCCGGGATCATGGAATCACAGAATGTCAGGTTGGAAGGGACCTCAAAGATGGTTCATTCCCAGATTGTCCCGCCAGGGCAGAGGGTCCCATGGCAGCCTGGATACCCTGTTTCCTTGGCACAGTTCCTTTGCTTCCTGCTGGGATCTCCATCTCCTTGAAACATCCAAATCCCCTTTGCAAGGGACTCCTTGAGATCCAAATTCCTATCACACCTCTTCCTGGTGGATCCAGCTCTGGAAATACCATGGTGGGGGCAGAAATACCTGTGGCTCCAAAAATACACCCCCCCCCACCTCCTCAACCTCTGGAGGGGTCCAAAGCTCCAGGTCTCCATCCCCAGGGGTGGGTGGGGGTGGGAACAAGGTGTGCACCTTATAAATATAAAATCATTATCTGCTACAAACAGAAGACGTATATTGTACATCTTTGACCCATATACACAAGAACACAATATACACAGAACGCCTCAAAGGATCGGGGGGGGGCTTTGCAAGGGGATTTTTGGGGAGATGCAGAGCAGAGCCCACCCTGGGGGAGAGGAGGGGGGAGGGAAGAGGATGGAGAGGAGAGAGGGGCAGCGTGAGGGGGTCTCTCCCAAACCCACAAAGTGCTGGCAGGGGAAGGGGAGGGGGGTCTCCAGACCCTGGGAGTGAAGTTAGGCCCTGAGAGAAACTTCTTGCCCTGCTGCCCTCAGGGATGGGGGGGAGGTTGTGGTTTTTTTTCCAGCCAGGAGGGTCTCAGATAAGGCATTTTCATCTGGGAGTCAGAGTGAAGGGTGTGGGAAGAGAGGAGGGGGCAGCCCAGGGCAGCAAGTGAACACGAGGCAGCGAAGCCAAGGTGGTCCCAGCTGGACAAGAAGGGGTGGAGAGGACAGGAGGGCTTCATCCTCGGCTCAGATGGTCTGGAGAGCTGGATTCCCACGTGCCTCCCTCCCCAGCTCCTTCATGCCTCTCTGGGTGGCCCAGCCTGACATCCTGGAGGGGCCCAGGCAGGGAGGGGCAGACAGGCACAACGTTCAGAGTTAAGACAAAGAGTCCATGTGAGCTTTGTACAGCCAGGAGCAGCTCTGGGCCGGAGTGTCCGAGGACTTGGGACAACAAAAAATGCCACAGTGATCAGATTGGGCCAGGAGGAGGGGGTGGAGTGGGCACAGGGTCCTGGCACCTATCGGCGGTAATGGTTGGGGGCATCTGCAAACATGTACTTGAGTCTGTAGGCTTCTGCCAGCAGGAGTCCAATCTCTTCATTGCCCCAGTGTATCGTGGGCAGGTTTTGTAACAACATCAGAAGGCCCTGAAAAAGGGGAAGGGGCTTAGTTTGGAGGTGGGGGTGAAGGCAGAGTAGAGCTCCAGAGCAGGCTCAGGGCAGCAGGGGCAGCAGTTCCCAGTAACTCAGCTCAGCACACTCGGGTCTGAAGGGCTCAGAGACAGCACCAGGATGTGCTCGTGTCTAGATCCCAGTCAGAGAAGCACCTCAGATGTCCCCAAGTCCCTGAAGTTAAGGGTGCTACCACCTGGTTACAGCTGGACACCAGAAGGCGAACACAAAGCAACTTAGCAGGATCCAGGCTCAAGCGTGGAAGAATTGATAAATCATGGCTGGTTTGGGTTGGAAGGGACCTTTAAAGATCATCTAGATCCAACCCCTGCATGGGCAGGGACACCTCCCAGCAGCCCAGGTTGCTCCAAGCCCCATCCAACCTGCCCTTCAACACTGCCAGGGATGGGGCAGCCACAGCTTCCCTGGGCAACCTGGGCCAGGCTCTCACCACCCCCACAGCAAAGAATTCCCTCCTTATGTCCAATGTCCTAATGTCTCCTCTCTTCCAGTTTTCATCCATTCCCCCTTGTCCCCTCACCACAAGCCCTAGCAAAAAGTCACACATGTCTCAGGTTTGAAGTTCTCTCCTCAGCACTGAGGCTCTAGAAGTTACTTTTAGCCAAAGATCTTGAGACTGCTCCTGGAGCCAGACCTGAGACAATAGCTGTGTCCATGCTGGAATTCCAACCAGAGTGATTCCTTCCCCTCTACCCCCAGCAAATTACCCCCAGCCCCAAGGACTTACTTGGAAGTCTTCCTCATCTAGGATCTCCTTCCTCCACTTGATCAAGAAGGCTGCACAGACATAGAGGTGGAAATGGGAGAATCCTTCTGGCTCTGACTGCAGACAAGACAGCTCAGGGTCAGCTCCTGCAGCTCAGCTGGAGCACAACTTATCATGGAATGGTTTGAGTTGGAAGGGACCTTAAAGATCATCTAGTTCCAACCCCTCTAGCTACGAACCCTTCTCCCAAGTCCCTCCCCAGCTTTCCTGGAGCCCCTTCAGGCACTGGAAGCTGCTCTAAGGTCTCCCTGGAGCCTTCTCTTCTCCAGGCTGGACACCCCAACTCTCCCAGCCTGGCTCCAGAGCAGAGCTGCTCCAGCCCTTGGATCATCTCTTAGGCCTCCTCTGGACTCTCCCCACGAGCTCCATGTGCTTCTTATGCTGGGGGCTCCAGAACTAGACACAGTTCTGCAGGTGGGGTCTCACAAGAGCCAAATAAAGGAGGAGAATCCCCCCTTGACCTGCTGGTGATGCAGCCCAGGACGTGGTTGGTTCCTGGGCTGCAAACCAACCTCCCTGGACACAGCTACTGGGCCACCCCTCACCCAACTGGCTGTAAATGTCCCAGGGCCACACTGCTTTGCTTCCCTGGTCTCCTGAGCTGCACAGGGTGCTGCCAGAAGAGCTTTGTCCCCTTCCCAGAGATGGTCCCAGAGGGAGCAGCCCAGCAGGGAGGGAGCTGCCTACCTGGTAGGTGTCCCAGAGGCGGATGGTGCAGCGAAGGGGCAGCTCCCTCATCAGCAGGTTGTTCATCCAGCGAAAGGCAAACTGCAGGTATTCCACCTCATACTTCCTAAAGTGATTATGTACCTGCTCTGAAACAGCACATTCCACTTACACAGCTGAGGGGACCAGGGTGTCCCAGTGCCCAACTGCCCCCCAGTCACCAGCTGTCAGACCTGGCTTCCCCCAACACCTCCACTCCTCTCCCTGGTCAGCAAATACCCCTGTCCCCAGGGGGTTTCTGGCTGACTCAATCCTGTCCTGCTTCCCTCTGTGTTGTAGGTGAGTGTCTAGTACCTGAGGGTACTACTGGCTAAGGAGACCTCCTGCTGTTGTGACAAAAGAGCCCCCAACCTGCTCAGATCCCCTTGTCACCTACCATCAATCCGGCTGACCAGCTCCTCCAGGGCTTTGACTTTCTTCTGGATGCCTGGCTGTGCAAAGGTGTAGTTATCCTGTGGGAAGAGGCCACGAGTCAGAAGCAGCAGCTCTAACAACAGCTTGAAATGACCAAAACCAGATTCCCAGCTCCACAGGGAACTGATATCCCCATGAGTTGAGCAGACAAGGCTCTTGAGCACCAGGATAATGAGTCAGGACAGTGCATGGTGGACAAGCCACAGCATCTTGTTCCCCCAGGATTTCATTTAAAAGATGTAGCTCAGGGATGTAGCAAAATGTCCCTGATGTTACAATACCCAGTACCCAGAGGTCAGAAGTCCAGGCTCACCTGTATCCCATCCAGCAGCTTGCTCATGCACCAGAAGCTGTCAGCTTCGATGCTCCCCAGAACATCCTGGGACAGGTTGGTCACATCAAAGTTCTCCACGTCTTCCTCTGCAAAAGAGAGGGAAGAGCACGAGGATGAGGGACACCAGGCAGGTCACTGGACACACTGAGGAGCTTTTATCAAGGCAAGGCAGAGCAAGAGGCACTACGAGGCCCTGTGTGCCACCTGAGAGCACAGTACCCATGCACTGACCTACTTCTCCAAGGCAGGAGAAGGGCTGAAGGAGCTCAAAAGGCTGAGCTGCCAGACCTGAGGGCAGCCCTGCTCCCCAGGGGACTGGGGGAGGGACCCCACAGCACTGCTGCTGCTGTCAACCCTCAGCAGTGAGGGTTGTGCATGGAAAAAGCTCCCAGCATATGAGACCCCTCTTGCTGGAGCCCATCCTGCCCTGGCTGTTGGGAGGTGTCACCACAGGGACAACTGGGAGAGGTGAGGAGGGGGAGGTTGTGCTGAACAGCCCAACCAAAGCCAACAGCTCATAAACTCCCACCTCTGCCTGTAAGCTCTGGAGCACACAGGAACACCAGAGGCCCTGGTGAACTGGGATGGTCCTGCCAAGGCAGCTGCTGTGGGAGGCAGCTCCAAAGGCTCTGGCACCAGGAAAGGTGGTGGGGCAGCTGAGCAGAGGAGCAGCTGGCAGCACAGTGGGTGCCTTCTAGCATCTTGCAGTCAACAAAACACCTGCTCTGAAAGGAGAGTTGGGGCAGCAAACCCAAGAGGTTTAAAAATGGAGCCAGAGCTGGTGCCAACTTCCTTCCCAGAGCCAGCTTTCTTTGTGGACAGGGGCTGCTCCAGCCACACAGTCTGTTCCCTTTCCCAACGGGGACACAGCTTGAAGAACTCAAGCAGAATTGCTTTTGGAGAAGCAGGGTCTCCTTATACTTCACTCATTCCTCCTAGACCAAGAACTAGCTCCAAGCCCAAGCTCTGCAATCAGGGTCCTCCCCTCTCCCAGTTCTGTGTATCAGGGCTTTGCCCAAACTTCCTAGAAGATCCCACTCTCCTCCAGGCTGCAAGGAATACTGCATCCAGCTCTGGAGCTTCCAACACAAGGACATGGACCTGTTGGAGCATGTCCAGAGTAGACCATGAAAATGATTTAAGGCCTGGAGAAGTTTGGGTTGTTCAGCCTAGAGAAGACTCCAGGGAGACCTTAGAGCACCTTCCAGTGCCTGAAGGGGCCTGTAGGGAGGCTGGGGAGGAGCTGTTCACAAGGACATGTAATGATAGGACAAGGGGTGATGGTTTTAAGCTAGAAAAGGGTAGATTGAGGTTGGACATTAGGGAAAAGTTCTTTCATATGAGGGTGGTGGATCAGTGGAACAGGTTGCCTGGAGAGGTGGTGGAGGCTCCATTCCTGGAGACATTCAAGGTCAGGCTGGATGGGGCTCTGAGCAATGTGGTCTAGTTGGAGATGTCCCACTGGACTAGATGAGCTTTAGAGGTCCCTCCCAACCCAAGACATTCCATGATTCTAAGGAGGTTAAGTTCACTCAAGGGCAACTCCACCCTCAGCACTTTGACTTCCACGTAGCTCAGCAAGGTTATGAAACTGAAGTCAACTCAACCAGGCAGCAAAAATACAAGAAGAGGCCAAGAACCCACCACCCCCTTCAGCAAGGCAAAGCTTTTCTGCTGCCACTTCCAACACCCTGGTGGAGAGGCAGCACCCTGCTTCAAATAGCAAATGGCACTTACCAACATACTCAGAGAGGAACACAACAAAGAAGGGTGTGACCAGGTCGTTGATGCCCTGTACGTAGCCACTGGCCGGGTGGCGAATGGCCCAGATAAACAGGATCCTTTCAAAGATCTAGGGAAGAAGAAGGGACAGCAGGAACCTGGATCAGCTGTGCACCAAAGCAAGGCACAAAAGGACAACTGCTGAGCTCAGGGTAGAGAACATGGCCTGCCAGGCTTTTCTGCAACAATACAGGTAAGAGAAGAAGGACACAAGTCCTAGGAGAAACTCCTGGGTGATCCACAGCTCCCCCAAACATCCCAGCCCACACTTCCGGAACCAGGAAGGCTCCTCAAAGCCTCCACTTGAAGAAACACAGACAACACCAACTTTTCCTGATCCAGGAGGCTTAAGACCCTTCCACCCACAGGGCAGGGCTGCCTGCCAGCAGAGCAGCACACCTTGCTGAACACCATGTGGCAGCTCAGGCTGTTCTGTTAGCAGCCCAGAGCTCCCAAAACCCATCACAGACTGGGAGAGCTCCCAGCACAGCAACCTCCACCCAGCAATCAGCATGTTATTTTCAGACTGGGCCCCAGCCCCAGGACACCATGACAGAATCACAGAATCTCAGGCTGGTTTGGGTTGGAAGGGACTCTAAAGATCATCTAGATCAACCCCCTGCATGGGCAGGGACACCTCCCACCAGCCCAGGCTGCTCCAAGCCCCATCCAACCTGCCCTTCAACACTGCCAGGGATGGGGCAGCCACAGCTTCCCTGGGCAACCTGGGCCAGGCTCTCACCACCCTCACAGCAAAGAACTTCCTCCTCATGTCCAACCTAAATCTCCCTCTTCCAGTTTTAATTGATTCCCTCTTGTCCTCTCACTACAAGCCCTAGTAAAAAGTCCCTCCCACACCTCCTGGCCACCCCTCAAACCCATCCCTGGGTTTCTCACATATTGCTTGGCCTAAAGAGGTTCTGTAGCACAACAGAACCCCTGTGATGCTCCAAATGCCTTGAATTTGTCTCAAAACTAAAGCTTCAGGCTGTCTACCAACCCTTGGCTACATCTCACCACAAAAGAGCTGATCCCATAACCCCTGAGCTCCAAGTCTGATCTCTTTCAGAAACATGGGACAAACCCAAAGAGTTTCAGCATGTGTTTGCATCAGGGAAGCTCCTCTGGCTGCTGCTCTAACTCCACACACATGGGGCAGGAGCTTCACTCCCTCTTACCTCCTGGACAAGTGGCTGCTGGAAGAGGGGGATGAGTGGGTTGGTCCTTGGAATGTCAATGTGGATCTGGAAGAGAGGGTGGGTTAAACACACCAGTCTTGCTTTCCAGGGGCACAATAACTCATCCCAAGGGGGGAATCCACCCCTTAGTCCCCTCTAGTGACAGCTGCACTTGCTGGCAAGCACAGCAGGGGCTACAGGTGGCAGCTGAACTTGAAAATCATCCACAGTTTTATTTCCAGTCTTCTCTGCTCAGGTGGATGGAGCTGGGGTCTGAAATCAAGTTATCCCACCACTTTAGGGAAGGCTTGAACTAAACACCTCCTAAGAAAACAGGCAGAAACACAACACCCTGTCCCCAGGACTCCCAATAGCTACATGTCCAAATAGCAGGTCCTAACATGATCCCAACCACATGGAGAAAGAAGAGGGAGGGAAGGGACACAACCCAGGCAACAGGCAGAGTACTGGTACCTGCCGGTAGGTGTCCTGGTGGTGCTCCTCGTTCCGGGAATCATAGTACTGCTGGATGAAGCCAAAGTATTCCTCCCTCTTGCGCTGCAGGGTCAGCTTCCGCCGCTCCGTGTTGGCAGGGAGATAACCCTGCAGCAGGAGAACCCCTGTCAGGGCAGGGCCTGCTCCCTCAGCACAGACCAGCCCCCCCAGGGATGCATCCAGAAGCATCAAGCACAAGAGATTCAGGAGAAGGGGGAAGAGCTTTCACGGGATTTGGCTTCTCCCAGCCCCTGATGCCTTTACTGATCTTGGAACAACCCAACTTTGTGGGATTCAGTTTCCCAAACCAGAGTGAACCCCAAATTCCCAGCCCCTGATGCCTTTACTGATCTTGGAACAACCCAACTTTGTGGGATTCAGTTTCCCAAACCAGAGTGAACCCCACATTCCCAGCCCGGGCTTTGTGCTCAAAGAGGATGCAGGAATTACACTCCCTGCCCAGGAAAAACCCAAGAGCTGAGGCTGGGCACAGACACAAGATGAGCAAACCTGGTTATGGGACACATGAAGGTCCAGGAGTGCATGTCTCTGGCTTGGCATATTCCCCCCAAATTCCTGGATCCCAGCTCCAAGTACTCACTGAGAGGAGGCGCCAGGTGACGGGCCGGACCTCTCTGGGCACACCAGGCCAGCTGCACTTCCTCAGCTCATCTGCAAACGGACAGTGGTGGCAATGGATTAGATCCTAGGGCACGTCCAGGCACCACTATACCTAGAAGGAGAGGAAAGCCCAGTCTGCTCCTGCAGGCTCTGGAGACACTGAGCCTCCAGGAAGGCTCCACATCTGCGACGACTGGGGAGGCGGGTCTGGAGCAAGGGGAGTCGAGATGATTTCAGCTCAGTCTGGGCACAGAACTGATGGAGCAGTGGCTCCAATGTGCCAGAACCATCATTTGTGAGATGGAGAAAGGCTGGTGGAGGACACCATCACCTGCCAACAGAGCAGTTTGTGCAGTCATCCCACTGCAGGCAGTCATTTCATCCACCCTGGAGCAGACCCGGTCACAACCTGAGGTGGGCAGCAGACCCTCTCTGCCCTTCCCTTCCCATCCACAGGCACCTCAGTTTTGCCACACTCACCCAGGTCTGTGTTGTGGCTGGAAAGGAGCTGCAGGAACTTCTCCAGGCGGGTTTTCTCCCTGACTGTCATGGGGGGAGCACCCGAGGCATTTTGGTCAGAGATTCGGGCGACGAGTGGAATGACGGGCCGGAGGGGGAGGGACTGCTGCTTCTGAAGGGGGGTCCTCACACAGGCCTCCTCTGCAAGGAGCAGATGTGTGGTGAGGTGGAGAAGGAGACTGCACCTCTCCAACCCTATCTTGTTCCTCTGGCCACAATCACTGCAGATTTCACCCCCCCAGCAAACAGCACCACTGGCCCACTCCAACGGATCAGGTCCTTTACAGGCATCTGCTGTGGCTCTTCCAGCACTTTTCCCCCCATTTATCCTTCCTTCCTTCCCCCCATTTCTCCTTCCTTCCTTCCCCCCATTTCTCCTTCCTTCCTCTCCTCCTGCATCCAGACACCTAGCTGCCAGTGGATCAGACTTCCCCCTCCACTATGGGAAGCCATAGGCAGAGGGACACAGGAGGAAGAAGGAGCTGTGGAAATCCCAGAAGGACTGACCTTCAGATCTGTCCTCCTCGTAAATAGTGATCAAGCTAATTGCTAATGCAGACAGAGGAGGTGACAGGCTGCCAATGCCACCTGCTGGCAGTAGAGACCTGCTGAGTTATGTCCACAGCACAGGCACCCAAGCAGGGGCTGATACTGCCCAGTTCCCTGTCAAAGCTGCACCTCATCCAGAGCTTTACTAAGAGTAGCACCCTGGGCCACAAGGGAAGCAGGTGGTGAGCAATCCCAAGCAAGTACCTAACAGCTCCAAAATCTCTTAGCAGCCAGAACACAGGATCCTGTGGGACAGACATGCCTGTATGCAGGATATTGAGACTGAAGCATTAAGGCCAGGACCTCAAAAATGGCTCCTTGAAGTAGAGGACACCACAAGGAGGCGAAAGCCTCTGTTGAGCTTATGGGCTGTGCCCCTCACCCATAACATGCAAGTAGTAGTAGCAAGAGGCTGAGTTCAACCAGGAGCAGGAGGCTACTCCTAAGGATGGCTCTTACCAGAGGTCCTGGAGAGCTGGGCCTCACTGCTGGACTTGATGACCTTGCAGTTGGTGGGCACATCGCTGAGAGCCGACTGGGTCCGCTCAGGTTTCGCCCGCAGCTTGCTATGGTTCTCCAGAACCTGAGCTGCCGTGGCCTTGGCCACTTTAGAGTTCAGAGTTTGCAAAGAGGAAGAGGAGGAAGAGAAGTCCTCATCTTCATCATCGCCAATGTCCCAGGCATCACTGGTGTTACGGGCAAACTCATGAAAGCTGGAGGCCTTCTTGCTTTTCATCGGCAGCGCGTTGGCCTTGGAGCGGTCCTTGATGAAGCTGGGAGCCAGAAGGAAACAGAATCAGAGCCAACACTGTTATTCTAGCCTTCCCTACATCCTTGCTTCAATCAGCCAGGCCCTTTTTCCAGTTTCCCTGTTCCTCCTCCCAAACCCAAGGAATATTAAGTCCCTCCGGGCTGCCAGGAGGCAGTGCCCAGTACGATGGCAGGGGACGGAGGTCACAGTGGCAGCAGCCAGCTGGAGAGGTGCCAGGCTTTCTGGCTCAGAAGGGCAAACGGGAGAGACAGATCATTCCTCCAGCTCTGCCTCCCTCCACCCTAGAAAAAAAACCTGGTAGATTAACACCCCCCCCAAAAAAAAGAAACAACAAGCCTTGTGACCTGGGAAGAGGCATCTCGGGGGTCAGACCGAGCTGGTCTGTGCTCGGGGATGGTCCCGATCCAGCTGTGATGGCTCCCAGCAGACAGACCAGCCTGGTTCTTTTCCCAGGCACAGGAGGAGTCTTGGCATTCACCTTTATGCTACAGGAGGCAAAGTCCATCACCTGAAGCGTCACAGAAAAGGGGAAACCTTCCCAGTGACACAGCAGGAGATAGGGACAAGGAGGGAGTTCAGGTCAGCTCTGCCTTTTCCTGCCGGGAAGGGGAGCAGAGGGCTGACACTACTGCTAAAAAAAATACACCTGTCCCCTTTGATGTGGCTGGTGTGATATTGATTTCTGGCCATAAAGGGCACCAGCAAATGAGATTTCCCTGCAAGCTTTCACAGACCTCAAGACAGCACCACTGCTGCCCTACTGGAATAACGCAGGGAATGCTGGAGACCTTCACCCACTGAGCCAAAATCCTGCAAAGCCTCGTAGCCTGTGTCTGCAGGAGACAAACACTTACTTTTTGGTGAGCCTGGGATCCAGGGGAGGATGCTGTGCTCCATAGACAGGTTGGATGCTGCAGGAAGGGGAAAGGAAAACTCAAGACCATGGAAAAAGCCACAGAGCACCCAGGAATAATCTCCTCAGGTTGGACAGGGGTCACACTTCTTGCCTGCTCTTGGAAACTGAAAACAGACCAAAGGCAACTTCAATAACCTTCTGTCTTCAAAGCCTTAGACCCAAAGTGCCACATTCAGCTGAAGATTTGTTCTTTGAGGCAGCAAAAAGAAGCCTTGTTTAAACTCTGAGGTTCCTTCCAGCCTGAGCTGGGATTTGGGATCTGCTCTTTTCTGTACCAGTGACCACGTGTCCCAGTCCCCCTGCCTCACACACTGTCACTCATTCTCTTCTCCATCAAGAGCATTTCCAGGTTTGGAAATTCTAAGCCTCGTGTGACAGGGGAAGACTCTATCCAGTGACAATGAGGGTCCTCTGCAACACGTGAGGGTCTGAATCCCAGGCTGGCTCTCAGGATCGTAGCCAACACTGCAGGGAAGCAGCAGCTGATATGGGACAAGGTTTGACTCGGGTCCAAATCCCAGATTAATCAACTACTTCCTACGTGGCCTGAAATGAGTCACCAGGTCTCAGTCCCTTGGTTCTTCTCCCTGTGGAGTGGGACTGGTGGGACATAGAAGCCTGAGGGCTGCAGGCACTACCTGGAGTGCATCTCCTTGGAAAGGAGCTGCTACATGAGTGCTCATCACTAGTTTTACAGGCTCTGGATGTGAGACAGGGATCCTGAGTTGCTACCTCCATTTGGGTGACTATTCACAGCCACCCCACCCTGAAAAACCATCTCTGGAAAACAAGTCCTCCCCATCTCCTGCTACACAGCACAGTCCTGCATCCCACAGCAGAGACAAGAGCCCATTCAGAGCTGGCACACAAGGGACATGCTCCTCTTGGTCAACAGAGCTGGCCTGGTTTCCAGGAACTGCAGATGGTGCCCGGTAGTAAAACAAGCAGAGCCCAACAGTGTAGGAGGGGAATGTCAGCCTGGTGCAGCTGGAAGGCAGGCTGGGAACCAGTTGATGCTGGGGAAGTGGCAGGAGTGAGGCACAGAGATCATCAAATCACAGAATGGTTTGGGTTGGATGGGATCTTAAAGATCACCTACTTCCAACCCTCTGCCATGGGCAGGGACACCTCCCACCAGCCCAGGTTGCTCCAAGCCCCATCCAACCTGCCCTTCAACACAGGGATGAGAAGCTGCAGGACAGAGGCTGGAAACCACCCCAGCGCAGAGAGATCCTGGTGGGGAATCCTGGCTGTCCCTCGTGGCTGGAAGCACTAAAAAGGCTCACTGTGTTTACCCACCAGTGATCGTCTAGGAAAGAGTTTGCTGACTAATTAGCATCTAGGAGTCAGGACAGCTATTAAGCAGAGGCATCCCCGTGGGTGGGCATGGCAAGCAGATTATCAGGAGTAAGAAAAACAAGCCCTCCAGATCAGTGCTGCTTCCCAGTGAGTCATGGCAGCTCCTTGCAGAAGGAGATGGCAGAGCCTCTCCGAGAAGCCCCAGCTGGTCTCATGACTGCAGCCTCAATGCTGCTCCTCTCCGTGCAGGCACCCACGGGTGACTGCTCTTGATTCACAAGCAAAGTGCTGAAGTTCACAGGCCAAACCAAGGGTGTGTGTTAGACACTGAGGAGGGGATGTGGCAACCAGGTCTAGGTGAGGAAACCCTTTCCTGGGGCTCTGAAGCAATCAGGTGATGACTTCCCTGGCCAACAGCTGATACGACAGCAGAGGGTCCCCCCTGCCAGGGACCTCTTTTTAAAGAGTGTGAACCCAGGCTCCTCCAGACAAAGCAACCTGAGCTGATCTAATTGCAGCTGAAGATGACAGCAGGCTAGAGAGGCAGGGCTGAACACCACTGTCCTGCACAGGGGAGCTCTAGTCACTGCCCGGAGCAGCTTCACCCCATGTTTGTCCCGTGTCTTCCAAGTCTCTGCCCTGCCCACCTATGCAGAGGGTGCAAGAGGCTGCACAGGAGTGTGGATGCTCTGAGCTGTGCAACAGGTGACTCCTAAACCACACAAGCATTTGCACAGCTGCCAGAGAGCAAGTCTCTGCTGCCACATCTGTGGTGCCCTCGTCTGATCCAGCTCCTTCAGCTCACATCCCTGTAGCTGAGCCCCAGCAGGTCCCACAGCTCCAAAAGTGAGTTACAACATCCTGCAGGTACAGCTGAGCCAACTGAGGCCAGGGAGTGATACCACCAAGTGCTGCTCTGTACCTTCACTCATCCTTGTCTGGTTTTCCCTGATGCAGCTCAGGCTGATGAAGCTGCTGTCTCCAAGCTGAACTCCCTGCCCATCTTCACCTGACTTTTGCCCAAGGAAAACTCAGGGCAGGCACCACCTCTCAGTGGAGCCCAGACCTCAGCTGATGCTGTGCTCCCAAAATGACTGTCCTGTCTCAGTTTAAAACTCTCTGGGACAGGCATTTCTCATTACCTGTCTGTTCAGTGGTACAAGGGGTAACTGACACTGTGCACAACACCACAGCCAAGATGACTCCACAGGACCTGGATTATTGACACTGCAGCAGAAAGCACATCCATTCAACCTTTTTCCCCTTTTGAAACAGCATTTAAATACCTGCCCCGAAGCCTGGATGCCCATCTCACTAAAGAGCAGGAAATAAACAACATGGACACAGGGTAACAGGCTAGAACAACCTGCCAACACATCCCCAGAAAATTACTGGGGTGAGAGATTCCAGTACAAAAAAACCCCAGGGCAGTCTTTGAAATGTGAAACAACATTTACTAGTTCTGCCCCCCTCCCTTAAATCTACAGGGGAAAAAGCACCAACTAAAAGCTAACACAAAGTGGACAAGTGTCATGGAAAAGGGAGCAGCCACAGCCTCTAAATCTTTACAAAGACTCCCTCTGCCAGCTCATCAGGTGAAAGAACAGAGAGCCAAGAATCTCTGCAGAAGATCTCTCAAAGCTCAGACAGAAAAGGAAAAAAGGGAGCTTCACATCTAGTGACCATGGACACCTCACAACCCACCTCCACCTTTTGTGGTTGTGTTGCCCAAGACCTGTTTGGTAAACATCCCTGGAAGGGATGAGCAGGCAGGGTTTTTGGAGGTGGTGAGAAGGCTCCTGGAGAGCAGGATCTTTGCCAAACATGCAGTTAGAAGTGCCAAAAACTTGACGTTGGAGTGTGTTGTCTAGGCAGGAGCAGCTGCCTCCCAGACCGGTTCACCTGGTTTGAGCTTTCCAAGCTGCAAGTCACCCAGTGCAGGAGAGAGATGCAGCCTAAGACCAGCAGGGCTGTGACCTCTGGGTCAGGGCTGGGAGCAACCAGGAGACAAAATGACCCCTGGAGAGCAGAGCATTTTCATCCTCCACGAGCAGAAGATGAGGAACATGTAGTGCTTGTTGCTTTCCCTTCACTTGCCACAGACCTGGACATTCCCACCAACCTGAGGGGGCTGGTGCAGTGACAAAGGACGGGGTGGAAGCACATCAGAAAGAGAGATTTAACTGGCCTGGCAGGATTTAAAGCCAACTAAGCATTTCAGGCTGCATCCACACAGCAGGAGGGGAAGGGCAGGGTTCAGATAAGGCACAAGGGAGCAAATGTGAGGAATACCAGATGAGAACATCACTTGTAAAAGCCACCCCAGAGAGGTGGGTGCCCTCTCCCCATGGGAGCCTTGCTCTCAAGGCCTTGTAGGGGGCATCTCCTTCACCACCATGAGCCTCTTCCTCCTAAACACTGCTCAAATCAGGTATTTCACTTGTTTCTCCCATTCCAGGGTGAGTACAGGCGCCTTGATAGGAACCAGGACAGCACAGCCCAAGGAACAGAAGCAAGGGAGGTGATCATAGTGAGACCCCACAGCCCCTCATACTGGGCAGAGGTGGACCAGGAGTGACACCCCACACAGGAGAAGAAAACAGGAGAGCACATGCACTGGTAGGGGCACCTGTTTGGGGCAGAGTTGCTGCCATCCAAGACATCTAAGGGCTTCAGGAAGGGATGAGGTTGCTTCAGTATCTGTGGAAAGGAGGATGGTAGAGCCCTGGCTCTAAGGCCACCCCAGGGGGACCTTCCAGACCCTGACCCCCCTCCACACTGCTTCCCACAGGGCCCTGCAGCTCCACAAATGAGGGGACAATCCTGACCCTACCCTTGAACGGGGGGACTTCCTCCAGCAAAACTCCCCTGCTCCATGGTCTGGGGTGCCCCAAACAACCCTCCTATTGCAGGGGGGAACCCCGACCCCCCCAGCCAGCCCCTCTGCCCCACAGCCGGCGTG